TGCATCATCAATGGGTCAAGGAAGAAACAAAGGGAGAAACTAAAGGCTTGCTAAAATTCACTAAATGCCTACACAAAGAAGCTAGAAAGATCCTACACTAGTAAATTAACAGGAACATTTGAAAACTTTAGAACAAAAAGAAGCAAACTCACCTAAAAGAACTAGATGGCAGGAAATAAAGTGAGAACTAAAATCAACAAAATAGAAACAAAACAATACAAAGAATCAGTGAGACAAAGAGTTGGTTCTTCCAGAAAATCAACAAAACAGACAAACCTTTATCCAAACTAACCAAAAGGCAGAGAGAGAAATTTAACAAAAATCAGAAATGAAAAGAGGACATAACAGACACTGAGGAAATACAGAGAATCATCAGGTCATATTTCAAAAACTCCACAATATTGGAAAACAAAGGAAATGGACAACTTTCTGGATAAATATCAGTTACCAAAAATTAAATCAAGACCAGATAAGCAAATAAAACATACCTATAACTGCTGAAGAAATAGAAACAGTCATCAAAAGTCTCCCAACCAAAAAGAGCCCAGGACCAGATGGTTTCAGCTCAGAATTCTACAAGATTTTCAAAGAACTAATACCAATACTCCTCAAGTATTTCCACACAATAGAAACAGAAGGAAAATTGCCAAATTCTTGAGGCTACAATTACCCTGATACCCAAACCACAGAAAGACATTACTAAGAAGGAGAATTAAAAACCAATCTCACTCATCAACATTGATGCAAAAATACTAAATGAAATACTGACAAACCGAATCCAGGAACACATCAGAACCATTATCCACCATGATCAAGTTGGCTTCATCCCAGAGATGCAAGGATGGTTCAACATATGAAAATCTGTCTAAGTAATCCACCATATAAACACACTGAAAAATACAAACCTCATGATCATCTCATTAGTTTGGCTCCCAACTGGTGCTCTGTGGCACCCAGAGTACATGGCCTATTGAGTTCTGACAAGGAGCTGAGGGACGGCACGTGTCAGGTGACAGCAAAGAGGAGCTTTCAGAGGCCCTGAGCATCCTCCAGTAGCGACCTTCCAAGGAGAAGCAGTTTCAATGAGCCTCTTCTTGCTGCTCTCACCGCCATTCCACTGAGGGAACTTGTCTCCAGCATGCTGACTGAAGCACGAGAAAAGAGCACGGATCCTATTGGGGCCCCATGTCCCAACATAAACCACTTTTCCTTCTCTGGACCAGAGTGGAGGCGCGGGAATAATTGAGACACAGTTCACACAGCGATATCGGGAAGGGAGTCTGAGGCTTCATTCAAATCCTGAAGATCACCCATGTTTATTATCCAAACACCTTTTATCCCCCAAGGTAAACTAAGGTGGAAGTGCATTAACATTCTGTTTCCGGGTAGCAGGACTACAGTCAGGTCTGCAGCTCAGTCAGTAGCATGAAAATCACAACTCTTCTCAAGCGATCTACAAATCTACAAAAGAAAAGGAACAACACATCCTGAGCTTTTGTTAGGGTAGTGACAGCCTGTCTGGCAAGGATACCAACCACTAACATGGCTGTCAAACCCATGTAGAAATATAGGCCTACAGGATCCCCAGATTTCTCCCATTTAAAAGTAACCAGTGATCTGAAAAGACAGGACCTCTGCCCCATGTGGCCCTTTACCAAGTCCCATCTCCAGAGGAATTCCAGGTCTAGACATTGAAAGGAATGACCTGTGTCACAGGGCACAGTGGCAGGCCGAGGAAGAGAGAGGCCAGCACCCATTTACCTCCATATTAAAGATGGTGGTGATGATGCAGATGAGGATGTCTGACCTAGCGATGATGGCCTCCTGTCCTGCACAGAGACCATGGTCTGCCAGGGGTCCACGTGCATCAGGAGGCTGAGGGAGAAGTGAGAGGGTGGAAAACCATGGATGAGAAGGACGGTGATTCCCAAGAACCCACACCTTCCTGAGGCCCTGACAACGAACAGATAGATCCTGAAGGAAGATGAAGGCACAGACAAAGGGAAGAATGATCCACACAGGGAGTCACAAGGGACAGAGTGCTCAGAGAGGACAGCAGAGACCGCACAGATGGTGCGGGAATATAGGCTGTCTCCATGTTCCTGAATTAGCAAGGCTTACCCTAGGGCCAGGCAATGGCCGTTGAGAAGACAAGGTAACTGAAGAGGGGAAGCAGAGAACAGTGTACTCCAAGCTAAAGGATGATCACGAGGTCTTCGCTGGTGAGACACAGCTGATGCAGGTCCAGGAGTCCTGTCTGGTGCAGGCTCTTGGCATCAGGGAAGTCTAGCTGATCAATGCAGTTTCAGTGGCTGTCTGCCTGCATACATCTATGGAGAAGAGAGCTGGCACCCACAAGTTCAACAGCAGGGATCACTTTACTGAAGAGGAAGGCAGCTCTGAAAACTGAGCATGATGTGGGAATGTTCAGGGGGAAGAGTTCATAACTCCCCACACATACCCCAATGTTCAAAGAATGAAGAGGAACAAACAGGTCCAACCAGAGGGATCTGAAAGGTCCCCATTCAGGGACTCAGGGGTCCCTTACTGGGTTTCTCCTCCTGCCTCTCTCAGTGGAACCACTCTGGTGTTGAACACAGGCCGGGTTTGTGTATTTGGGGCCCCCAGGAAGCAACACAGTCTTGACAGGCTAGCCCTGATTGCCCTGCTCAGTCTCCAGCAGCACCCGGTGTTCTGAGTGGAAGATGCTGTCCCCATGTCAGGGTCAGGTCTAGGTGGCAGGGGCATTTTCTTCCGTAACATGCTGTGGCAGACACATGGGGCAGATGCAGCCTTGGTCAGTGGGGCATGGCTTGAAGTGGGGCTCTTCTTCTGGGGACAACATAGAGGCATGGGGGCCCGCCCCTCTGGTCATCTTCTGCCCTGATAATGTCAGGACATTAGGTATATCCTCTTCTGAAGACTGGGTGTGGAAAAGGCCAGTCGTGGGCGGGCTCACTGGCTCTTCTTCTCAGGTGATGACCAGATGTTAAAGCAGGTAGCAGAGATGGTAGAGGTGCAGCGCCAGGGTTTCCCGCCTTGACTGAGGTGGTGGGGGTCAAGCTCCTGTTGTGCCTGTTCTAATAGGTATGGCCTCATGATCTCATTATATTCTCTTTTATATAAGGAGTATATGATCTTTTTAGAGGAAATCCATAGGAAAAGAGCTCTTTTACAAATACAGGATCTGGGAAGGGCTCACTAGGGATGTTTCCTTCAGGGTTCTTGACCCATGGATGTTGCTGAATGTCTTCAATGTTGGGCCTCCTCTCTGGGGCAACACTGAGCATTTGAAAAAAAAGAGATTATCAAGTCTTTTAAAGATGTAAGCTGTGATGTAATACCTTCCTTTGGATATATTCTTCTCAATATCTCTTTCAGGGTGGATATCTCTTTCAGGGTGCTTCTTCAGAAGGGGTGGTGCCCCGTGGTGATAAAATAGAGCACTATACCCAGACTCCAGATATCTGCCTTCCTCCCATCGTCCCCTTTCCTCAGAACCAGTTCTGGAGCATTGTAGATCTCAGTCCCACAGCGCCCTTGCAGCACAGTGCCAGCTGCACACCTGGTGGCGAGGCCAGAGTCTCCCAGCTTCACATCACCCTCTGCATCTAATCGAGCAGGATGTTCTGGGGCTTCCGGTCTCGATGGGCGATGCCATGGCCATGGGCGGCACTCTACGGCTGACACTAGCAGTCTGAATATTTTCTGCACCTTTTCCTCATGCAGCCTGCCTTCTTCCAGTATTTGCTCCCTCAGATTTCCCTCCTGGCACGAACTCCATCGCTATAAAAAGTATAATTTTCTGTATTTAAAATCTGGAAGAGGCAAATGAAGTGGGGTGTTTGATCGTTTCTTAGGACCGCCACTTCAGTCACGACTAGAGGAAGGTGTTCGTTTTCATTTCTACCATTTTATTTACCACCAGCTTGTAAACACAGCGATGGCATGCCAGTGCCAAGTCCACCCTGGTCGATGGTGTCCAACACATTAAGTTGCCTGTCTAGGTCCTTATTCCGGGAAAAGCAGACCTCCTGTCCAGAAACAGATGTGCCAAAGCCTGAAAAACAATTCGAATGCAGATATCAATGAAGGAGTCCCACAGGTAACTGAAATTAGCTCCCTGGTCTGTGACTATTTTTGAGGTAAAAGCTTGGAATGTTCCAATCACAGCAGGCTATAGTCTATAGTGAGTGTCTCCATGTTGGGCCACAGGTACCTTTCCCCTTCTTATGAAAATGCAACTAGCATCCCCCAGCTACTACTTCAGTGGATCAAAGAGACAAATTTACTCATTTAGAACTTCCAACCAGCACAGTGGCAGTGGCCTTTATAGTTGGGTCTTGAAACCTCTGTCAAGTTGGGAGCATAGGACCTAGTCCCTCACATCTATCCCAGCACCCAGGCCTGGTCTAGACTCTAAAACCCAGCAGGCCAGGTCCTGACCCCATCCCCAGGGAGGGGTCAGGACCACTCCCCAGGTTATTTAAGTGATCTCCGAACAAGGAACACGTGGTCTCCCTTTCTTCCTCCAGGGGGTCACATTTCTGTGGCTTCCGATTTCCCCCTCCTCCACCCAAGAGCGTGGAACTTGCATTAAACCTGGATATTTCTTAATTTGGCTTGTTTAGATTTGGCTTGATTGGGAATTTTGCATCGGCAGGAAGCTCACGTTAGGAAATATTCCTAACATTTTGGAGGTTCCACTGAGACAGGGCAGGCCCTTTCCATGAGGCAGGCCACATGTTGAAAGGCCCCCAGTCTACAATCTTGGGCTCTCTAAGCCACGCTTAAAACCCCACTTCTGGGCTACAGTGGCTGCATCTTGGTGAGTCCCTTTTCTTATCTATGCTATAAGGTTTGGGGGACCCATTCGTACTTATTTTTGTCGTTTTGGGATTCCTGTTGAAGTCGTGAACTCACGTCAGGAATTTGAGCCCCAGGTGGCGGTCAATCCCGTGGGATCAGGCTTGGCTGAGGCAGAGATCTGTCTGTCCTGGGACGCTGGGCATTCAATGTCCGTTGCCCCTTTTGGACTTAGAGACATTTTGGTGGACATGCTGAAATGGACTTAGGCCACGTGGTTGGGCATAGACTTTAAAATGGGCGCTTACAGTTCAAAGCTAGGTCCAGGTCCGCTGTTGCCCCTGTAAGCCTCGTTCAAAAACATTTTTATTTTTTTTAAAGATTTATTTATTTATTGTGCATACAACATTCTGCCTCCATGTATGCCCACACGCCAAAAGAGGGCGCCAGATCTCATTACAGATGGTTGTGAGCCACCATGTGGTTGCTGGGAATTGAACTCACGACCTCTCGGAAGAGCAGCTAGTGTTCTTAACCACTGAGCCATCTCTCCAGCCCACCAAAAACCTTTTTAAATAAGCCTGTCTGATACAAATGAACAGAGCTTACTTATAGTCTCTGTGCTCTCGCCCCCCCCCCACCCCTTAGTAGCCAGTGTTTCACAGCACCACACTGCCAGAGGCACTGGCCTCTCCCCCACTCCCTCAAGTCCACACTTCCCAATCCCCTCCCATGGAGCAACATTTGTTCCCCTCCTTTTTCCAATTCAGAGGTTACAGGTGAACTTCCACTGTCCCCTCCCCCTCCTATCTTACCGCTCTACTCCTGGAGCCCCTGCACACTGGGCTAGCCCCTCCCATACCCCCTTTTCTCTTCCAAATCTCTCTCAGATAGAAAAGCAGCTAGGTTCCTTTTCTACTAATCATTCTGCTTCCTCAGTCAATACCACATATTAGGAAAGAGTTAAGAAAGGTTGAGGATAGTCCCCAAATTGAGTTGGTAAAAATGGCCTTTAAAGTTTTAATGCCCAAGAGGAATCAGCTGAGTCTTCCTGACAGACAAAGCTACAACAATCTACAGGCACAGGCCTTAGCAGCTGCCCTAAGGTCACAGGAAGGGGGACAAGGGAAGCCAACCACAGGGCTCTATCAAGTGTGGCCTAAATGGGCACATGGCACGACATTGCACTGCACCTGCTACAAGGCTGTGTCCTATCTGCCAACAACTTGGACACTGGAAATCACAGTGCCCCCGTGTGGGCTTGTCCTCAATGCTAAGCCACGGAGGTCCGGCCTCATCACCATCGGCAAGTGAAACTGTGCCAGCCTTGCAGAGGATTGACACTGCCCAGACTTTGTATATCCTGTAACCCTCTCTGAGCCTAGGGTCATGCTGCAAAAGGCAGGTAAGTCCATTACTTTTATTCTCACTCAGGCCTTAAGTTTCCCTCACCAATTTCAGCTATGGAGGTAGATGGGACCCATTCCTCCCCTCTTAAAACTTTGCCACTGCCCTATCATCTTGCAGGATATGTTTTTTTCTCATTCTTTCTTAGTGATACCGGCTTGCCCAGCACATTTACTGGGTGGAGATATCCTTAGCCATTTCCCCAAAGCTTTGTTCCACTTTGTGGAGCCCCCTTTTAACCTCACCCATCCCCAAGATTCTATTTGACAGGTTCACTCCTCCTGCCAGACGTGTGCCCAGGCCAACCCACAAGGAGCTCTCCACATACAGCAGCTTCGTGGACACCAACCAGTCAAAGATTCACAGGTTAATTTCACCCATATGCCTACTCATAAAAAACTCTCTTATCTCTTAACACTTGTGGACACTTTTACAGGATGGATAGAAGCATTTCCAGTCTCCAGGGAAACAGAAGGTGTGATGGAGCTCATGTCAGAAGCTCTCACCATCTCGTGGACAATGGGACTCAAACAACTAACCAAGCTCTTCATTGAACTCAGGTTATCTTGGCCCTCCCTTCTCCCCATTGCCCTGACTTGTCTCAGGGCCACCCCACATTCCCCTATGGGCCTGAGCTCTTTTGAGTTGCTTTATGGCAGGCCCTTTCTCTTTAACCATCACCTCCCAGTTCAAACTCCTCCACTGGCAGGGTACCTACCCTACCTCTCCCTTTTAAGGTCCGTTCTCCATTCACACGCTGACAGTTGTCTTCCTGCCACGACACCAGTGGACCCTAATGACCCTAAGCCTGCCCCACTCTACCCAGGAGACAGAGTACTTCTCAAACAGTTAACTACTAGGTCTTTCAAACCTCGATGGACAGGACTTCACACAGTAATCCTCACCAACCCCTCGGCTGCCAAGCTCTTGGGACACCCATGGTG